TGATGGAACTCAATCAGCCCCTTACAGGGTCTTCTAGACTTCTGTAGAATTCAAGTTCACCTAAAAAATTGTTCTTCTTGCGTTTAAGATGCTCTTCTCTTCAAAGCAGACATTTTCATGTGTGGTTTCTTTAAAGCATTTTTTTAAAGTCTTTCAAGCACTGAAATGTAACAACAGCAACAAGAAAGAGAGAGAATTTATCTTGTAAGGAGATACAGAAAGTATATTTCCCTTTATCTAAAGCCCGTGCCCAGGGCAGGAGAAAGAAAAAGGCAGAAATAAAGCCATTCCCCAAGGAGAATCGTTGGTTGCAGAACATTCCCCTGTACAACTAAGGATCACATGAAGTGAACACTCAGTGGCTCTTGGTGCTCCACAGGCAGCCAGGAAAAAAAAGCCATGAAGACAGACACTTGCCATGTGACTTGGAAGGGCACACTTTGCTTTGCAAGCTGTAGCTGCAGACGTACTCCAGTGGATCAGAGCTTGAGGAGTTACATGACACGAACACATCCTGGTTACTCAGAAAGACAGTGAGTGCTGCAGATTGTTCTATATGATATACAGCCCAGCAGGCTCAAATCTGGAGCTTCAAGTTAGGCTCTTAAATCCTCATTTAGGAACCTAAACAAAAGTGGCCTAATTACCAAGAGTGCTGAGCAAATGCATCTCCCATCTTCAGTGGGATTTAGGCATGTCTGAAACACCAGCCACTTTGATTGAAGTGTGTAAACAGGGATTTTGAGAGCTTTATTCTAGGCACCCAGGTCTGAAAATGCTAGGCCTATCTGACGCATTTCCCTTCTGACTTACAGTCCCACTTACAGAGGCTATATGCTGTACTGCAGGGGTTCTCAAACTGGGGGGGTCGCAAGCTGTCAGCCTCCACCCCAAACCCTGCTTTGCATCCAGCATTTATAATGGTGTTAAATATATAAATAAAAATACATTTTTATAGGGGGGGGTTGCACTCAGAGGTTTGCTATGTGAAAGGGGTCACCTGTACAAAAGTTTGAGAACTACTGCTGTACTGGATGCAGAAGCCCTGGGGAATGGCTGTAACTGTAGGGCTTGCTGAACAGAGGTTATTCACTGTACTAATCAGCCAGGATCTGATGGCTCACCCCAAAGCTTGGCTCTCCCTCTCCCAAGCAGCAGATGAGCAAGCCTGTTACATTTGTTTCCATGGCTGCTTTGATGGCCCTTTGACAAAGTCCCGTGACGGTTGTGTAAGTTAGAGATGGAAAAGAGCTTGCTCATCTGCCTGCCAAGGCAGAATCTGTCCTCTCTAGACAAAGCCCTGGAGGATAGACTGAACTAAGTTTAAATATACCATGGGGCTTTCTGTCCCTTTCCTTGGAGAGACTATTCCACAGTAAAATAGATCTCACTGTCCGCAAGTTTTCCTTTGCTCTATTTCACTCGTTTATACCCCTTCTTGGATCACCCTATTTTTATCTGCATGTGTCAAAACTGGGAGACAGATTTCTCCCACCATTAGCTGTCGCTTAGTTGAGCTGTACATCCTTGACAATTTCTCCCCATCAGTCGATTTCATGACACTTTTTGTGCCTCTCTGAATTCCCTCCAGCCTCTCCACATATCTGACAGGGCAAGGGAAGCTGGAGTTGTAAGTGACTATGCCGAGACAAAAGCCTTTTTTATATAAAAGCAACGAGGTCTTAAAGCAAAAGTACATGTAATTTAAACTGCTGACAAACAGGGCTGAGAAGTGCTGCTGTCCTATCAGCAGCTGTGTTGATGTTTGGACCAAGAGTATGTCAGTTTTTAAAATTCGATTTCATTTGACTACGGTGACCATATGTCCTGTTTCGCCAGGACAGTCCCTTTTTAAAAAACTCTGTCCTGGCCATCCTGACATTTTTGGCAAAACTGGGGCATTTGCCTACAGCCTCTGTGCTGCAGCCCAGGGAACATGTGCAGTGGGAGGTTCTGCTGAGGGTGTTTCCCCAGTCAGCCCAGCCAGCCATGGCTCCTTATCACTGTAATGAAATATTTGCTCACTAAGCGAGAGGGACAATATCCTCTCACACACTGACTCCTCTGGCAGAGGAGAGGAAGAGGGAGGGGGCAATTCAGAGACCCCTCCCTGTCCAGAAAGACCAGCTGGGACTCTGAGGGCAATCCACAGATCTGGATGTGCCGGAGGCAAAAGGAACCAGGAAGGCTGGGTGGGACTCAGGCCCCCCCACCCACCCTCTGGCCTGACGGCTGGGCCTCACCATTGCAGTCAGGAGACCGTTGGGCACAAGAGCTGCAATATGAGGACATGGTTTCGAAACATCCTCCTTTCTAGTTCTGTTATGTGTGTGTGTGGTCCCCAGGGTGCCGCCAGCATAGCTTCAGCACCCTAAAGAGAAGCAACTGCAGCTCTGGATTTGCAAATATGTCTTCTCCAAAAGAGTGCCTGGGACAAAAGGAACAGGAGTACTTGTGGCACCTTAGAGACTAACAAATTTATTAGAGCATAAGCTTTCGTGGGCTACAACCCATTTCTTACACGGCTGCTACTCTGAAACCTGGGACAAAAGGGTTCGTCTTCACTGCAGTGTAAACCCAGCTGGTCAGCCCCAGGTCAGCCTAGCCTGGGTGTGCAGCACCCCGCTGCAAAGCCCTGCCTGTGATGCTGCACTCCCCTGTGTGTGTGGCTGGAACTCCTGGGAGCACGTCCCAGGGAGCTCTGCACTACACTCAGCCAAGCCGCTCTAGGACTGTTTTCCAGTCAACAGTGGGAAACTTGGCTGTCCTTCTGGGCGCGGGGGGAATTGTGGAAAGGCACTGGAGGACTAGCAGCACTGCAGTGGTTTAGCCTGTGTCCTCAATGCAAAGTGGACAGATTACCAGACCCAATGAAAGTGGCACCCAGGTTCACCCCCAGCCAGGCCAGCTAGCCCGGGGTTAAAAGCACCACTAAATGCAGATGAAAGTTTTGTATGGGGGTTGGGGGAGAGTTAATGGCAACACCTGGCTGAGAGCTGGGGCTAGCTGAAGCGAAGACTGACCAGAGTCAATTTCATTTCAGTTGTTTCCAGTCTCCCCCCAACACACACAAATTGTTTGCACCCTGGAAGTCCCAGAGCACTAACTGGGCTGGCCAGATGAGCTGCCCAGGGGTAGCACCGGGTAATGCACACAGGGCCTCCACCATGGAAGGACAACTATGGCTCCATCTCCTCGTGTGGTGAGTGGCGTGGTTTAAAAACCCCACAGCCCTTAGAAAGGAGAAGCTGACCCAAAGGAGAGCCTACAGTCTGTTTACCTCTCCCCAGGTTACCCTGCCAACAAGCCCGTTGTAAACTCGTTAAGCACATTAGCAGTGGGTTTGTGAAATGGAGTGCATGATGCAATGACGCACTCCTGTTCCAAGAACAGCCACAACAGCAGCCCGCTTACCAGGATGCTGAGGAGCAGCAATACAGAGGTTGGTTGTTTTAGTGGAGCCCCTTGTTTCAAGGCAGGCTCGAAACCTCCACTGCAACGCAGCAACAAGCAACCAATCAAACCCTGCCGGCCTGCAGCCCATCAGGGCTCTAGGAGGCGGGGAGGCAACTCTGTGAAGCAGGCCATCGAATTATGCCATGGAGAAATGGTGGCATAAATATTCAGACCGTTCCTCTCTGGTGCTCAGGGAGGAGAGGGACTGAGGTCCAACATGGATCTCATGCAGCGTGTGTTCTCCTCGCAGCCCATGGGGGGGGGACAAAGGCACTCATCTCTTCCCACTCAAATGCAGGAAAAGGCGTTACAGCCAAAACTGGAGCCTGGCTCTCCTTGCGGAGGCTGGCCCCAAGAACCCAAGCAGTGTCTTCTATCCACCACCAGCCTGTGGCTGTACAGAGACACCACAAACTACTGCCCTTGGGAGGAGGACGTGGGGCTGTACTTTACGACAGCAGATGGGAAACAAACCAGAGAGGACGGGGTGGGAGACAGACACCGTCACAACTGCGAGATGCTCCCAGGAGGTGGAGAGGTTACAACTGCCCCCTACAGCCAATGCCTCAGAGCCAGCCACGCCTGGCAGGAATTTCTGAGTGAGCTTGTGAGAAGGAAGGTGCACCAGGTGCTGCAGTGGGCTGGGGACAAAGGATGAGTTTGTGCAACGCGCAGGGCAGGGCAGGGCCTGGTCCTGGGACAATGGAGCATTCTGCACAGGTCCCACAGGATCACCTAAACGTTAAACAAGGGCAAGGGGTCATAGGAACATCCCTTGGAGAACAAAGGGGTGTCCACCTGGCTGTGTATCCGGGGCAGTCTGCTAGGATCCAACCCTTGGGCTGCGTTAGCAACACCAGGCTAGCCTCTGTGTCACAAACCAGGTAGCAATGATGAGGAGTTCCCCAGCTTCCAGCTAACCCATTCACAAGGCTCATGGGGGGGCAAGAAGGGGCAACCCAGCCCAGAAACTCCAGACCCAAACGCCCCACAATGCTTGGACAGTTCCCATCCAAACTGTGCTCAACTTGTACTAGAATTACTCTCAGAGGATGTGGCATACCCTTCCCTGAACTCCCCCTCCCCTGGCCAGACTACTCCCTCTGGTCCCAAAGGGCCCAGGACAGTCCCTGCGAACAATGGTTGGTGGGGAAGCCAAGAGCCAGCACCAATGACTAGTTTATCTTGCCCAGTATTGACATGCAACCACAACAGATTATTTTAAGATAGCACCAGAGGAAGCAATGGAGACCACTGTGTCACATGGCAAATCTAGCAGAGTGATGATCAATGTTTCATTATCCTACACCTGCCCCTTTCGTGCTTACAGCAGTGCGTGCACTCACAACAGTGGCGCGCACAAGTGTCCAGCTCCATGGACAAAATGACCAATCTGCATTAACAAGCCACGATCATCGGGGTGCAGCTCCCCATCAGTTTTCACACACTGCACAGGCTGGCCTTTGGCACCTGCCACTTGAAGCTGTGGCACATTTCAGCCCCAGGTTAAATCTGCCCGAGGACAGTAGAGGAGAGGTACTCACTATGCAGCAGAGTCATTCAGCTGGTACTCTCGGGAGCGGTTAAAACAGGCCTGGACGCCGTTATCAGCCCACAGCCTCCGAATCACATTGGCAAGGTCCTCTGGCATGATTCCCTGCTCCTCTGCAGTGCAAGAGAGTGCAAATAACTGACGAGCATCATCCTGCAGGGAACAGCAAACCACAAACATCAATGAAGTTCCTGAGCAACAGCTGCTTCTCACGTCTGCTGTGTATTAAAGCTGATCACACTGAAGTTTGATCACCAAGTCTTGTACTAGAGGAACATAGCGCTCCAAAACCCAGGAGGTTTGCACCTACCATGTACCATGCACGTGCCTCGAAGGCTCCCAAGAAACTCCTCCTCAGGGAGGTTTGCTTCTTTGAGTAATGGGGCAAGTGACACTTCAAATCTTTGCAAAGAAGCCAGCAGAAAAATCCACGCGTTGGGACTCCACTGATTTCCTGCAGGGCTGATGGCAGGCAAACAAACTAGACGTCAATTAAAAAAATATGCAGTCATGGCTTATCATTGGTTACCTAGCCCTGGAAACAGCAATACACCATTTGGATTAGCTCGTAACCTGATAGCAAGGAAACTTGGGCAAGATTGTTCAGGAGCCATTGCATTTACACAGAGATCTCCTCTTGTTCCCTTGCCCACGCACCGAAGTTATAACACTGGGGGAAACTGGTGACAGATTGTCAAGTGTCTGCAAGGAATTCTGGCGACTAAGGCAGAATGTTAGACATGAATGGGAGCCCTACAGAGTTGGCCAGTCACTGAGATGGCTCGATCAGTCCATCATTTGGAGCAGCGGAATAGATGCTGCACTGTGACTGCTCTGCAGGCTCTCCCAGTGCTGAGCAGAACTCAAAAAGCAGGATCAAAGCGTGCTGCAACAAACACATGGGGAGAATCAGACACAGCCTCCCCAGCCGATCGGCTGCTGGCATGTACACAGCTGGGCTGCTGCAGCTCCAGCTTTTCAGGCCCGATCGCAGCACTGTCCCCAAGACATCCTGCACTTTTAATTGGAGGGGCTTTTCACAACAGCACATGTGACGGCCACCCGCTTGAGCATGCCCAGGGACTGCACTGGGGACCTCCAGTGCTAAAAGAGCCTGGCTCTGTAGTGGGGACTGTAACAGACTAGCATCCTCTGTGGTCAGGCATGGAAGCGAATGCATAAAACACACTGCCCAGCAGTTACACATACATTTACTTCTCAGGAACCCATAGAGGTCAGAAAGGAAAGGACCAGGTCCTCTGCCATGCCACGGTATCAGGGATGCATTCCTAGCTGTGGACCCCTCCAAACAACAAGCTAGATTTCATTTTAACTGGCCTCTGTTAAACCATTGGGGGGGGGGGAATATACCCCGCTATACAGTGACTGCTCATTTGCAGACACCCAACCAGCTGATGCTCCCATAAGAAAATGAAACGCAGAAGCTTTGTCTCCCCTGCCTTTTATGACTCCGTGGCAAACAGAGAGGTAGCAGGAAGGCCAAGCTAAGACAATGGAAGCATTCCTTGCTGGGAAGTGGGAGGGACGGAGACTGGAGCATCAAGAATTCCTTTGCCTCAGCATTTGTAGCTACTCACTCAAGACAGCCCTCAAGGGAATAAGCTTCTGGCAGAGCCCAGCTCATCTGAATTTCTGAGAACCCACAGCCGGCTCTGCCACATCAGCCCTGTGTGGTTTGCAGAACTGTCCTCGTCGACTCCTTTGTGCTGGCAGTTCCCAGCGCAGCCTCCTGCCCTTGGCCCAGGAATACGGACAGCACCAAGGAGGTAAACTGGGTTCAGCATCTAGCACTGCCAGCCAGCTTCACACTGCCAGGAGGCCTTAGGCAGGGCTTAAACATCTCTCTTCCTGCTGGGAGCCCTTCTGACAGGTACAACCGCCTCCAGGGTTTAAGGAGAACGGACAGTTTTGCTGCTGCAGTCACACTCTCTGCTCATAGCTGGCTTGGCAGGAGGACCAGCTTCCTCAGGTGTAGAAAGCCTCTCATATTTTAAGCCATAGCATCACACTATGGCTCAGTGGCCACCTGGGCACTTGCTACATGCTGCTAGGACTCTCCCCATCGACCTGCAGGGCAACAAAGTGGTATGCAGCAAACGGGGAAGAACGCTAGAGCAAGTACTTGTCTGTCCTGCACACTGCATGCATTTATAAGGAAGTGAATCATGCTGAGCCTGGTTTGCCTGCTCTTGTCATACTAATAAACCTGAGCTGAGCCAAGCCAAGCTGGGAAAGCAGCCCCTTTTCCCTGGCCTACACTAAGCCTGGGAAATTTGCACCCACCAGAGGACCCTAGTAATCTCAGCGGCTTTAAGGTCACCTGGAAGCTAGCAGCTTGGCCAAGGTGAAAAACACTGCATAATGGGAGCTGTACTGATTACGGCGCTTCCACTGCATTCATGAGGAGAGTGGCTGCGACCTGCTCTATTTCATACACATAGCCGAAGCATCAAAAGTCTGGCCATCTTGTCTTAGGGATTCTGGAAGACTTATTTGGGGGTGGGGGCAGCTATAGAGGCAGATCTGAAATTAGAGAAACCGTGCACAGACATATTCAGCATTTTATGGCTATCATGAGACATTTCCTCTCTCCCTGTCCAACACCACAAGCAATAACTCACTACAATGAAAGTTAAAAAAAATATCAGGCTCAAACATCTAATGCATGTGGTTTAATTTTGCCACCACTTATATTAGCTAGCATCAAGCAAAACTGCTCCAGCTGTTGGCTGCAGGGCTGATGTTAGGCCAACCATGCATTCAAAGCAGTCCCCTGCAGCAGTGCCCGCTCTCGCTGGCAGAGAGAGCGCACAATCACTTACTCAGGGTAATAATCACAAAACTCTCCCCAAGCACCGACTCCCAGCTCTTCAGAGGACTGGAGCAAGGTAATTAGCACTGGTCAGCAGCAAGGACCCCACTTATTAAAGCACCTTTACACAAGTCCCTAGAAGATTTCAGGGCATTACCAGCTTACGGACTGGGATCGAAAAATAGCGTTAGAAGATCTATCCTGTGCCCTCATTAGCAAGGGGGAGCTTCTGGGAGCACAAAGCTAGTCCATTAGCCTTCAAATCAAAGCATTCCTCAGGAGCCAGGTATGGTAGGACAGCACCGCACATGTGGTCATTAGGCAGATTAATGACACCTGCCGTCTCTCAGATCTTGCTACACACGGTTTAAGCGATTGAGGGACATCGCTGGGGCCTGTATACAAACAGTGTCCTATTTCTGATCCCCCAGGTAATGCCCAACCAGATCAGACACGCGGTTTTGCATAGTAAGCAAACTCTGAACGAGGGAGGTCCCAGGCAGAGGAAAAAAAACCCACATGATTGCTGCTGCTATTGTTAGCTCCTCCAAACCCTACTTAGCCCTTCCACAGCCCCCTCTCGCAGCGTCTCGGTGTGGCGGAGTGCAGCATTATCCACAGGAGAAAAGGCACAGGGAGACAACTTGCCTGATGTCACACAGGAAACCAAGGGAGCCAGGAATAAAACCCAGCTCTGCTGAATCGCCAGCCACAGCTATAGTAGGCAGCATGGCCTAATGGCTATCTAGATCCCCTTCGCTCATGCTGGCCCTTAGCTCGCTCTTTGTGGTTACAGGGAGGGAGCAAATGGTGGAGTAGGTCAGGACACGTGCCTGGACCAAGCCTGAGTCGCTTTGGTTCTCTGCACCTGAAAGCTCACCCTCATTTAAGCTTGCGCCCCAGAGACACCTCCCCTCCCCTTGCACCTGCCCCATCCCTCAGGCTGGGACCCAGCAGGATGGAGGACAGGTCACACGCAGTGCTCAGGTGGGAGCTGAACAAGCACTTGCCTGGCTGCAGTGCACAGCATAGCAGCACATGCCCATGCCTGGAGTCCTCAGGCTAAACATAACCCCCGAGGCCTTAGGGGCTGGCTGGGTTATGTTGCTCAGGCCTCACCCACTCAGAAGCACAGCTCTTAATCTATTGCGTGCAACTGCTGCTGGGCATGGCTAGCCTCACCCTCCCAACAGCCAGCGAGGTTCTAGGCACCAACAGTTCCAGGATTCAGCTATTCTTACTCCTTTGGCAAGAGTCATGACTCCTCAAATGCCACATTCAGACAGGCAGCAGGCAGCGGAGCTCTGACCCCCCCACACCAGGGCTATCAGTGAAAGCAAGGACTATCCTCAGGCAGAGAGAGGGTAACTCACCGCTCTTGCAGGGTCGCCGAAGTCAATCTGCAGGTTGCCCATGGCTTTGATGATGGCCATAATGGACTGAATGGTGTTGCTGTAAACCACGGCTTTGTATTGCCTGCACTCCTCTTCTGAGTAGCCATCCTCATGGATAATCCTTGAAGAGGGGGCGGGAACAAAGTCAGACCATCACGAGTTGACCATGTCCCAGTGGAGCTCCCCAGTATGACCCACCCTCACCCCTGCTCCCTCACTAGGATTCACATTGCTCACTGGGAGCTGCCCCTATTCAGTTCTGTATAGCAGCTCCCTCTCCAGAGGGCAGGAAGCGTTCCCCCGAGAGGCACTTTCCAGTGGAGACTGTCTCTAGGTGCAGCACTGCTAAGAGGGCCATGTTACCAGCACGGGAGCCCAGCACCGGGGATGAAAAGGACTGTGGCAGTGCTGCCTTACTCCGAGGGAAGGAGACAATCACACAGATGTTTGCTAGATAATGGCTGCTATGAAAGACGGGGTCCTCAGCCAGGGCAGGGCACTCAGCCTGCAGCAAGCATAGGGCACTGCATGCTTCCCACCTGAGCGCTGTCCCTGGACCCAGCTTTCAGATTAACCTACTAAGGTTGTCACCAACATCTCTCCCCGAGCAACACCCCAGCCAGAGCTCCCCCATCATCCCATCCCAGCTCCAAGAGGGGTCCTCCCCCCCCCC